GAGGTTAAAGATGCTTGCTCAGAAAGTGATTGTTGATCAAGGATTCGAGGATTCAAAGTCTGTAAATAGCCAGACAACCTCCTATTTATACATTGCAGTAGGGGCAAGAATCGAAGGGGCAGATCATCAAGTGAAAACTTAAAAAGTGCGGCGCCAGACATGCAAGTAACCGCCCCTATGATCCAGGCGTGCTCAAGAAACCTCCACTCTCTGTGCACCACTTGTCCCACGTCACATGGAAAATGGAGGCTAGGGGCAATTGACGGGACATTAGGTGGCTCAGCAGTCCCAAAGCTGACATGTGGATAGATGTAGCTATTATGGAACTCAAAAGGCACCAGGAGAAGGCGTCAAGGAGTAATAGCCCAGAGGAGCCGAGGGTAACTAATTGAACCCAACATTAAAGATGATGTAACTTCTCATTAATGAGGAATTGGGTGACTTGACAGGGCTATTAATGAGTCTATGTGTCCTCAAGACCCAAACTGACAATCATCATTGCAAAACATTAATGATTATTGCACCGACCAGATGTCCTCGGGAAACTCCGATGTATTATTCCCCGAGCATTAAACACTCGGGAATAAGTTTCAAGCACCGATCAGATATACTTAAATGACCGGAGATAGGGTCATAAGTGCTCGGCATGCCCCGAGCACTTACCCTATCGCCCAAGTAAATCAGTCATGAGAATCTGAGTGGAGAACACTCATTATGCGTGAATAAGAGTGCAAGTCATTAAATGTCGAAGTGGGACTCAAAACCCCTACACTCATTGCTAGTCTAAATAAATACCCCTCAAAAAGATGAACAAAGATACACAAACTAAACTGAGCTTCGAAAGGAATCAGTCGGGTATTCATCCGGCCCTTTTCTGACCTTTTGGTTATTTCAGGTACATCATTTAGCGAATCGCTATCCCTATTTATTGCAGGAATCTTCCCGTGCAACACTTCCAATGATGGATGATCTAGAAAGATTGGAAAGGCACTATCACTCCCTCAAATGTGTGAGAATTTCTTCTAATTAGATGATTATTAACTATGACTATCCCTATATCCCTCTAGACCTTTGGGATTGATTTCAAATTTTGCGACTGTATCAACTAATAATTTTAAACTCATTATTCATTCGATTGTAATTTTTATGATACCCAATCAAAAAAAAATAATAATAACCATCGATTTTTATGGATAGGAAAGAAGTTGCACATCGACTCTATTAGATACAGGGTTCTGGTTACGATATTTGATGTTGGATACTTGGGATTCAGATCTCTTTTAATATATTTTCTTTTCAATTCTCTTGTTGACAAATTATCCACAGTTAATGAGTAAGGAATCTATTTTGGACAATAGGCTCCACTTGAATTGCATTATAGATGATCAGGTAAAAAAAAAAATTAAAGAGAAAATGTATGGAAAAGAATCTCCATCGGTTGAGATAAGATAGAAGAATACGAAACTCAATAGTCAATGGAATGCCACACACGTTTGACAGTTGGGAGGATAAGACACAATTGACAGAGAAAATAGGGTTCGACTTTGATTTGAACTGAACCATTCTGAAGCTCAATGGAACAGAACAAATCTTTAAGAAGTGCTAGTGCCCCACTATTGGTCAGATCATGTTATTGGGATTGGCTTCATTTAATGTAACACATTATCTATATCAATTATAAGGGGCGGATAAATGGAAGATTTTAAACACCAAAAAAAAATAAAATTAAATGTATTTTTCGGTACTGAACCTTCATTTTTTTTAACAATTAAAAATGCATCACGTATGCATTTTTGTTTATTAATTTTTTTATCAACGATTAGAAATCATTCAAATCAAAATTAAGGGTCCAAATTATTTTTTAGCATCGTATCGTAGCTTTACCCATAAAATAACCTGGCACTTATAAAAAACTTCAAGTGCAATTTTTTTTTATTTCATTATGATGATGGAGTGGCGTTTCCTTTTTAGGTTTCTCTGTTTGATTAAATTTTTTTGGAGCTTTAACCACGAAGAATAATAAATACAAAGAAAAAAAAACAAAAGACCTAATAATAAAACCAAAAAATTACTCATCTTATGATATTTCTAATAATTGCAAGGGATATATTCTTATAATTTCTGATATTATACTACACCTCCTTCACGAACATAGAGTTCTTTCAAATTAAAATTATAAGTTTTTTGGGTCAGAAACTATTATTGAAGGGAGACGACGAAAATCAAACTCACGGTCTTAAGGTCTAACAGAAGCGCGATGGCCATCCAATTGCGCCCACTAATTGAATATTGGTAGTGTTTGTGAAAATCTTAGAAATTGGAAAAATAAAATTGTAGGCCTTCCTCGTGTGGTAAAATTGTAGAGTAGTGAAGAGTGAAGAGTGATTTGCGATACTTTAATTGTCAAGTTGAACCCTATTATACCATAATTTATTAATTAATAATGTGGTGGGAACCGTAATTAATAAAAATTAGAGGACTCAGAAGTCAATGAACTGAACATGTCTGATGTCAGAATAATAATCAAAGCATGCTCACAACAGTAGAGAGAGAGCCGTGTACCTATGTCATTATGCGATTAGAAAAAAATTATACAAAAAAAAAAAAGACATAATCCCTAATAATTATTTAATATAATGTTTAGAACATATTATCGGGCACGATCTTATAATATGAGATAGTATCGACCATTGTTATAGAGTCTATTAAATACACCGTACAAATCAATCGTATGTAATACACAATAAAAAATTCATCTTGAATGATCCGGAATAAGATTAAAATGACAAAATTACCCCTTATTATTTTTTTTTTTTATGGAATTATTGTTAAGGTGATTCTACCAATTTTAATTTAATAGATTGCCACAAATTAATTACCTAATCTAAACAAAGGACTAATATTCTAACAATAAGCTCAAGTTAAAATGAGACGCCGCTGCAGGTATGGATTAGATTGTAATCAATTGTCCAATTATATTCCATGAACTGTCAAATTTATTACTCTCTATGTAAATTTAGACTAAATAGCATTACAAATAAAATAATTTAGACGGTTGATATTTGTAGGAGATGAGAGGTGAGGGTAAGGATAAGATAGAGCCGTGGAGGGGCTTTGAATTCAATAGTCAACCAAAAATGTTTGACAATTGGGATGATAAGAGTCAAATGACAGGAAAAAAAAAAAGATAAGGGTGATAAGGTGGACATAAATTCAGTGGACTTGGAGATTTTTTGTATGAATCTCATAATAGGATCATTCTTAGACACTAGTCTAATGCATGTTTAGAGGAATAGATAAGTTTGTTAGAAGTTTATTTTAACTTGGGGTTTTTGTGTGAAAAGTTCTTTTTTTTTTTAGATAAGTTTTACGAATTTGACTCTATTTCATTTTTTAAATAATCAAAAGATTTTCCAATTCTTTTTGATTGAAGGGTAAAGATCTATCATATTATTTTGAATTTTTAAAGTTGAAGGTGCTTTTTAAATAGAATAAGATAAATCTTTACAATTTCAAAAAAATAAAGGATCTTTCAATTATGGCAAACCCAAGTCGTCCATGCTTATCTGATATACTTATTTTGCATATGTGAAACAAAATATTTATACGTATTTTCTAAAATGGGAAAAAAAGTATCACATTATCCGTGTCATTCCACGTTGAATTATCTATAACTCCTCGTCAAGATGAAAAAATATATAATGTAACGATAATATTATGTCAGTATTAATTTACATAACTAATTAATTATTGACTTATATGAAATCCATTTTTTTTTATTGGGATAAATATTTTTTCCATCAAGAGGAGGGCATAATCAGTTGGCAGTACGGTACGTGACTATCACAACCCCTCTAATTACGCCAATTTTTATTGGAAATGCATAGCCGTGTTAGTATGTGTGAACCATTTTTTGGGGTAGCTGAAAAAGTGGAAAGTAAATAAACCATCTTTTTGTGATCAATAAATAAATAAACCCTCTTTTTTATAGGCTGATGCTGATGTGGCACTGACTTATCCTAAATCAATTTTTAAATTTTTTTTTTGTTACTGTTTTGGGTCTCGTGACGATGATAGGATGAAAAACGTAGTAGTTGCGATTCCTTTGTTTTAATATATATTTTTTACTATGACATTTCTTGAATTTTGGGCACTAATAGAATAATAAGAGGAAAAGATCAAAGAAATGAAAGAACTAATACTAAAATGATGAAATTACAGTGATGTCCTCAATTATTTTCTAGTAATTAAGACGGATACTCTTATAATTATAATTTTTGATATGTATGTTACACTCACTCTCTTAGTTTGATTATGTGCGTAATGGATACCCTTCAAGGGAGGTGGAGGATCGATAGACAAAACAAATATAATGACTACCAACTAACTACACACACATAATCATATAAGAATTCCGAAAATTATCCATCTCGGTGGCAGAGAGAGAAATCGAACATTACACAACCACCAACATCACCATTTGGTGACTACATGTGTATTTGTGAGATAATACCCGAAAAAATTATTAAGAATTTTTTAATATAGAGAATCTTCAATTTCAAGAATACGAAAAAAGGGCAACATTGACGAGACAAAGCTTCACTGACAACTTTAGGTGAACAAATATAATCAGAGGTGTAAGTATAATTCTAGGAATTATAAAATATTTCTTATAATTAGTAGATACTAGTCAAGGGGTGTCCATGTAATTTTCCCTAATAAGAAAATTGTGTTTTGTTTTCTAACCAAAACAAAACAAAAACTCTTAATCTAGATCTCCTTTGACTAAATAGCTGGAGATATCTAACAACCTCTGTTCTCCATTTTACCAGTGTTCCGAATGGGAGGGGCTATCTACAGTCATCGCAACTGATTATAATTCAAACGCCCCAACAGTTTAAACACACCAACGGAGGAGGTTCATTTGATATCAGATTACAACTCTTGTTGCTCTGGTTTCTTTGAGAGAGAGAGAGAGAGCACTTGAAAGGGGTAGAGCAATGGCCGGTGGAGGATTTGTTGAAGATGGTGGAGCAAGGGCTCATCTCTATGAGTACAGGATCACTGGGTATTTCATCTTTGCTTGCATTGTTGCTGCTCTTGGAGGATCTCTTTTTGGCTATGATCTTGGTGTCTCTGGTGAGTTTTTTGTTGTCCTCTTCTCGTTGGATTATGAGTTTTAGCCACTTTGCTGATCTGGGTGTTTTTGGATTCTATTGAGTCTTAGCATATTCTGTGGCCTGGATTGTCAGACTAATCTTTATTGGCTTGATTCTAATCCTACTGTAGTAGCTACCTTTTGCTATGATCATTGTCATCATCATTATGAAATTGAGATTATTGAATAGTTAAAATAAACCCATATTAGCCTCAATTTTAATAAGAATTTAATGTTAATGATATATAATTATTGAGATTTTTAATTAGTAAAAATAAACCCACATTAGCATCAATGTTAATAAGAATTTAATGTTAATGAAATGATTGTGTTGCTTTTGCTCCATGATAAGTCAAAAAGTGGTTGACAAAAAGAAAGGTTTTTTTCCCCAGAGAGAAAGGAAACAAATAGGGCTAAAAATTTGCAATTTCCCCCAGAAAAATTCTCTTCTGTTTGATATTTGCCCCTCTTTTCATCAAAGAATATTGTTTTAAAACCTGTCTTGTTTTCATTCTCAGCCCATGTGCAGCCAAACATGGTTTTATTGCGGTTTGGTTGCCCAATTGTGTCTGTTCTCTGTGTTTTTGTTAACAGATTGAAAAAAAAAAAGTAAAACAGGAATGCTAAAGAACTTTAACAATCATTGTATGATGCTAAAACAAATGAGAAATGGAGTGTTTGCATTGTGTCTTATAGAATACTAGCAATAATCCCGTGTCTCAAGACACTACAATATTGGGTTTGTAATAATTATATTATAAATAGTAATTTTTTTTAATTACACAATTTAAAATTAAAAGGAAGAGATAGAAGAGAAGTAAGTGTGAATTGATGAAATTGTTTGACATTGAGTAGTGTCTTGAGTTATTTGACATTAGAAAGATGTGCGGAGAAAACTATGTTTTTGAGCGGACAAAAACAAATTGGATGAATTTTGTATAGTAGATAAAAGATTGAATCAATCTTGACCAAGAATTCAACTTTTTAACTCTAATATTAGATAGATTTGCAGGCTGCTAGCCATAAAACAGTTAGCCTTCCCAAATTCACATTCCTCAACCATCATCAACATTCTCTCTTCATCAAAAATAATAGTAATAATAAAGAACTTCTCCTAATGGAAGAAACAAAAAAAAATTACAGAATCGAATCCTCTTTTATGTATTCAGAAAGTAAGAGCAACTCTTCTATGCTTGTAGTAATCAAAAAGCAAAGTAGAAGTTGAACTTCCAATGGTGGTTTCAGGTGGGGTGACCTCCATGGATGATTTCTTGAAGGAATTCTTCCCCAAAGTGTATCGAAGGAAACAAGCACATCTCAAAGAAACAGATTACTGTAAATATGACAATCAGGTCCTAACTCTCTTTACATCCTCTCTATACTTGGCGGCTCTTTTCTCCACTTTTGGGGCTTCATATGTAACCAGAAATAAAGGCAGGAGAGCTAGCATCATTTGTGGATCCATCAGTTTCTTTGCAGGAGCAATCCTTAATGCTTTTGCTCAGAATATCGCGATGCTCATCATTGGGCGAATGCTCCTTGGCGTTGGCATTGGATTTGGCAACCAAGTAAGCCAATGTTCACATTACATCAACAACGAAAAGAAACGAAATCAAACTCATCATGTTATCTTTTACTCATTCTTGTGGTGCAGGCAGTTCCTTTGTATCTTTCAGAAATGGCACCTGCAAAGGTCAGAGGAGCAGTTAATCAGCTGTTTCAACTTACAACCTGTTTGGGGATCTTCATAGCCAACTTCATAAACTATGGTGCCGAAAAGATTCATCCATGGGGATGGAGATTATCCCTTGGTTTAGCCACAGTTCCAGCAACTCTTATGTTTGTTGGTGGACTTTTTCTTCCAGAGACACCCAACAGTCTAGTAGAACAAGGCAGATTAGACGAAGGAAGGAAAGTGTTGGAGAAAGTTAGAGGTACCACAAAAGTTGATGCAGAATTTGCTGATCTTATTGAGGCAAGCAAAACAGCACAAGCCATAAAGCACCCATTCAGGAACCTGTTTGCACGGAAGAACCGTCCCCAGTTGGTAATTGGAGGTTTGATCCCAGCATTCCAACAGCTCACTGGCATGAACTCGATTCTGTTCTATGCCCCGGTCATATTTCAGAGCTTGGGCTTCGGTTCAGGGGCATCTCTGTATTCATCCACCATAACAAGTGGAACGCTTGTTTTGGCTACCTTCGTCTCAATGGGTCTTGTTGACAAGTTAGGAAGAAGACTGCTCTTTCTGGAAGCTGGTTTTGAAATGATTGTCTGCATGGTAAGTTCACTTAAGCATTCCTTATGCACATGATTGCAAATGAACCGAATTATCCATGAACAGCTCACAATCGGCTTGTACTAAAACTCATTCGAGTTCATTCAACAAAACAAACTGGGCTCAAGCAGAATTTTGGAGTTCTTTCAATAAACAAATCGATCTTGAACTATGTCTTCATTTTTTTGATCAAACTATGTCTTCATTAAGCATGTATAAATGTAGACTATATGCATTTATCATCTATCTGCACAAAACTACATATAACATATGTTCCATTCTTTAAAAATATATGTGAGTGTATGTACATATATGTAAACAAGTCGAACTTGATGTTAAACACAAGCCTCGACTTGAGTTTAAGATCGAACATAAGCTTGATATCGGTTCATCTTGTCAAATGAGCTGAGTCAAGTCAAGCTTGAGCTTGGAAAAAAAATAAACTAGTTGAGTCAAGTTTGAGCTAAGCCCGAACATTGTTCATGAATGAACAAGCCAAGTGTGAACAGTCTAGTACTCTTAGTTTGATTCGTTTGCAGCAATAGGTTAGCCCTATGCATTCTTCTCAGGTTTGGACAAATGAGGTGAGTCTGAACAGTCTGGTGCTTGGCTTAGCTCGGTTTATTTGCAGCGCTAGGCCTTTGCATGTTGTTACTGGTTTGGACATTTACTCATACACTTGAAAATTGAACTGCAGGTGATAGTGGCCATAACTCTGGCTGTGAACTTTGGCAAAGGAGAATCACTCTCAAAAGGAATTGGTGTCTTACTTGTTATTGTAATCTGCTTCTTCGTTTTCGCTTATGGAAGGTCTTGGGGACCTCTGGGATGGCTAGTTCCAAGTGAAATCTTCCCTTTAGAAACAAGATCAGCTGGCCAAAGCATGGTGGTCTGCAACAACATGATCTTCACAGCCCTCATTGCGCAGTGCTTCCTCGCGTCTCTCTGTCACCTCAAATATGGCATTTTCTTGCTTTTCGCAGCCTTAATTGTGATCATGAGCACCTTCATCGCCTGCCTCTTGCCTGAAACGAAGCAGGTCCCGATCGAGGAGATACATTTGCTGTGGCAGAAGCACTGGTACTGGAAGAGATTCTGCGAGCCTGAGGAAAACGGACACGAATTGGATGGGAAATCCGGGCAGAATGACTAGGATTTAACACAAAACAGAAAGGGAACAATATGAACTTGTATTTTGATTCTTGCTTATTATAGAATATAACATGGAAATTCTTAATCCCAAAGGGGGGGATATTTTTATTCTAGTTTTATGAATTATGGAATTCATATCTACTCAGTTCTTAAGTAACAACAATTAAATATCTGCCAGTAATCTACTAGTTTTATTGCCTGACAATGTTTGGAGGCTAATGACACTACCATGGTAAGAAAAGGATAATTATATCAGAACGGACTATATTGTATAATATTGTTCATTTGTAATGTCAAAGTTTTCACTTATCGAGCACTTCTTAAATACTTTGAGATATAGAAGTCAATCATATTGTCCAGTCAAAATGTGCAATGAGAGATACTCAAACGGATTAAAATTCTTTAATATTTTTTTTCTTTTATTTTTTACACATTCTTCGTAAGTAATAATTAAGGAACCCACTTTATTTATATCAAGTTATATTTGAAGTCATGACTAATAATCTACAAAGAAAAATACTAAAATATATATATCTATATAATAAAGTAGCTTAAAATTCAAATTTCAAAAGATAAACAAAATAATTTTTGCTATTCGCGAGTAAGATCGCTTTAAATTTTACTTTAAAGTTAATCTAACGGCTAACATTAAAACTTTAAATTCAATAGGAAAAATTGGCTCCTAAGGTGTGTTTGGAGTAATTTTTAAAAGTGTTCATAGGAATTATTTCTCATAAATATTTAAAAAAATATATATATTGTTTTGACCCGCTCCACCACTACCTCTACCACCACCACCACTACCCACCCACCCACCCCGCCGCCGTCACTACCACCACCGTCGCCACCCCCACCACCGCTATCGCTGTCGCCCTTAACGCCACCATGGTCATTGTCACTCATCACAACCATCACTGTCTCCTACCACCACCACTACTGCCCACCACCTCTCATTCTCACTACAAATCTATGCTTAAATTTTTTTATCTATTCTCTATGTTTGTGATTTGATTTTGGATATTAATACAAATATTTTTATTGTTTATCATTTTTTATTATTCTGTACTTTCAGGCACAGGGAATAACTAGTATATAGCAATCTTACCTTGAATTGGAGGGCCTCTCAAACCTTGAATTGATTCTCAAATGTGAAAATCTCATTTATGCTTCGTTTGATAAGAGCATTTTCAATCATGACTCAAATTTAGACTCAAATTAATTTGAGTCAAAAGGTTGATTTGGTATGGAGCTCTCCAATGGATAAACTCAAATATTTACTCAATTCTTTTAAAATATTTCCTTTTTATCCCAAAACTTATTTTTATTATTTTTTTCCACTAAAACATGTTATGCTCACTCATTTCTGTCTCATTCCCTCCAAAACCTCTATCCCTCTTGATGAGACATTTTCGGAATACTCCAAGATGAAGATACGTGTCCTCGGTATCATTAATCCTTGTTATCGAGATCACGTACTCATCGGGTCACAAGTCCCCTCTACCCCGAGGTACTTATCATGGGATCGAGTGGCATCCAATACGTTTTTATGTACCGACACGTACCCTTGGTCTGATATGGTACATCGGTCGCTAGGCCTCCCCCTATCGGATTCAAGATGTACCTATTCCTCGGTTCTGAGATGTACCTCTTCTTCGGCTCCGAGATGAACTTCTTCCTCGGCTCTGAGATGTACCTCTTCCTCGGTACCGAGATGTACCCCTCTCATCCAGGATGAAGTTCTCTGCTCCAGGAGAGGCTATTGATGCACTGGTCACTAGCCTAGGTTAGGCTAGGTTAGCTATCATGACCTCGTCTTACACAATTGGTGTTCGAAGGCACAGGAAGGCAGGGGCCACAGCCAATGAGGAATGGACGCGTGACATATCAGAGACAGAAAGACCGCATGACCTTGCTGACACGCGACTTGGGAAAACAAGCATTTAATTACACCATTTCCTTGATGAGACTGCATTCAATGCGGTAAGGCTCAGAAGTGAAAGACAATAAATGTCTCTAAGGCTGGGCATTTATTGCGTCCTCCCCGAGAGGAGCTCATTGAACAGTCGGCAGCCCGATGACACAGTATTGATTGCTCGGGATCCCGAGCAGTTAAAAGAGAAGACATTCCTCATCAGAATCAGTGCGCACACTGCATGTACCTAATGATCACCTACTGACTACACTGACAACAATCATAAGTTTTGAGGTATAAATACTCCTTGCAAAAGGCAAGACGGTATGCAACAAAAAACCTTTGCTATAATACATATTCAGTGTTTTCTTCTTCCTCTCTCTCAAAGACTGACTTGATCGTCGGAGGGAATACGCCGGAAAACACTCCGGCGCCCTTCTAACTTGTTCTTCTTTGTTCCAGGAACCTTTCTTCAGCCTTACTGGATCGTTCCTTTGATCCACGAGGGTCTCCCATTACCGTTTCAGGTTAACACAGGATCTCACAAGCTGTTCCAAGCAGCGTGGTTGACCACTCCACGATTCGCTCGAGTTCACTAAGGGAGAGATCTGTTCTCATTTTTATATTGTGCGAAATCTAGCACGCACAATCTGGCGCCATCTGTGGGAAACGACTAGTTTTCCTAGTTTTTTCTCTATAAAGAACAGTGACCATGGTGAACACTCGACAAAAAGGAAAATGTCCCCACCAAAGAAGTCTCAAATTACAAGCTCCCTGTCACCACGGAGGAAGGGATCACACTGATGAGAATAAAAATGCCTCTACTCAGTCAAGAGGGGTTACCCCTCAAACCAGTATGGGAATCAGGTCAGGAGGATCAGCCCCCCTGGCTCGTTAGTTGGCGGAGGTGATCGAAGAAAAGTTTGGCGATAGATTACGACAGCTGGAAAAGGACAACGTGAACGTCCTAAGCCGGCTCAAATGAATTTGCCGTCTCCGGCAAAGGGTCGAGGGACTCATTCCTCTCTTGTGGGCTCCCCGCCCGGGAGACGGAAATGAAGGATCTAAGGAATTATTTAAACAACAAGGCAGAAAGCTCCAGGGCCCCAAAGCGACCGAGAGCAAATGAACGCCCTCCTAACGACCATTCAAGGAAGGCAAGGCCGTTAACCCTGGACGACCTCCGGCGAGGATTGTCTAGACGGAGGAAGGGAGATGAGTCCGCGGAGGATTCTACCCTATCCACACGGCGCCCAAGAAATGGGGGGCCTATTGATGAACTCAAAGACTTCAGAAGACATCCCATCAGGGAGGAAATTGATCTCAAAGCCCGGTTGAAATCCAGGAGAAAGAGTAAGGTTGTCCAGGATGAGGCCAAAGACGAGGTCATGCAAACACCCTTTACCAGGGAGATCAGAGAGATGGAGATTTCAAGAAAGTTTGTCGTGCTGAGGTTCAAAACTTATGACGGGCGGTCCGATCCCGAGGCCCATCTCAGGCAATACAAGCAGATGATGTCCCTCTATCATTCGGACCAACGGTTCCTCTGCCGAGTGTTTCCTATGAGCTTGGGGGACTCTGCGATGAAGTGGTTCGAGGCGCTTCCCCCCAACAGTATTGGATCGTGGAAGAAATTGACGAGGCAGATCCTAGCTCGATTCATTACAGGGAGTTAACGGCCCAAAGACGTTGGATCATTGCTAACGCTCAGACGTAGGGAATCTGAGACCCTTCACCAGTATGTTATCCGATACTGGGAAGAGGTAAATGAGGTAGAAGGCTGCTCGAAAGTCATGGCAGCGGCCTCTTTCAGGCTCGGCTTGGCGAGGGACACGGACCTGTACCGATCCCTGACCAAGAAGACTCCCTCGGATATGGGCGAGCTGATGGCCCGGATAAACAAATACTCAAGGATCGAGGACGAGATGGGAAGCAACAAAGGCCAAACCCTCCAACCTAAGAGAAAGGAGAGGGAGCAAGAAGATACTCCCCGAAAGGGATTGCTACCCCCTCTAGGGGGTTCGTCCAAAGGGGTTCACATTATGTTCAAGGAACCCATCTTCAAGTTGCTCCATAAAATCAAGCATGAGTCGTTCTTCAAGTGGCAGCCCAGGATGCAGAGCGATCCCTCAACCCGTGATCAAAAGGTTAGGTGTTCCTATCACCGGGATTTCGGACATCGCACCGAAAGCTGCAGGGCATACAAATCGTTCTTGAAAAGATTGGTCTGAGACGGATACTTGAAAGAATATATAGAGCCCAGACCAGAAGAGAGACACACCCTTGCCCCGACCGAGGAGCTGGACAACATCATTGATGTCATCCATGTATATCCCCTGGATCGCCCCACGTCCAAGGAACTCGAGTCCGCCCTCAAGAGGGTAGCTTTTACAAGGAAGGTAGCCAAGGATGATGGGGGGCCACCCAGTAAAAGGGGCAGGACTGGTGAGCCCAGCATCATGTTCTCCGACGCGGACTTGACAGGCGTAGTGACTCCTCATAACGACGCCCTCGTCTTGACCCTGAAGATAGAAAAATTCGACGTCAAAAGGGTGTTAATAGACTCTGGAAGTTCCTCAGAAGTGATGTACTCTGAGACTTTAAAACGGATGGGTCTTGGCCTCAAGGACCTCACCAAGGTCAGGACACCCCTCATCGGATTCAATGGCGCGTTCGCCCTGTCCGTAGGCAAAATCACATTGCCAGTTGTCACGGGTCCCTTCATCATCAACACCGAGTTTGTCGTAATTGATACGGACTCTCCCTACAACGTGATCATAGGGCGAACATGGCTGCATGCTTGGGAGCGGTGCACTCCACTTACCACCAGAAACTAAAATTTGCCACGCAGAAGGTATCATGGAGATCTGGGGGGACCAAGCGTCCGCAAAAAATTATTTTTATTCAGCTGTTAGAGCCGGGGCGTTCACCCAAGAAAAGGGGCGAGCCCCGGAAGAGATCATGGAGAAATAGCAATCACAGTCCGGGCGTCCAGGAATGGATGACCCCCGGATAGACCAACTGAGCGGTCGGTGGAGGACCTCCGGAAGGTGCCCTTGGTGAGGAGGAGGGAGAAGAAGAAAGATATT